CGCGGCCCCCCCCCCCGGCGAGGGCCGGGGCCCCCCTCCACTAGACCAGGTTGCTCAAAGCCCCATCCAGCCTGGCCCTGAAGACATCCAGGGATGGGGCATCCACAGCTTCTCTGGGCAACCTGTTCCAGTGCCTCACCACCCTCTCCAGGAAGAATTTCTTCCTGATATCTAATCTAAATCTCCTCACTTCAATTTAAACCCTCCCCACTTTCAGTTTAAACCCATGAAACACATGCTTGTGTTTCATCAGAAGCAAATTCAGACAAATGAAATATCTGGATACCGAAATGCTGGTGACTCACTCCTAATTCGGGTGCACTGTGAGCCCTGTGACATAATGTGCTTTTCTTTTGATGGAATCAGTAGAAATTCTGGAAGCCATGAACATCCTCAATGACCCACTGTTCTTGTTAGATATCACAGTGCCCTGACAAATGAGACCGTCCTAAAAAGAAATGCAGAGAGCGCTTTGCCAACCAACATGTCACCAGCTATGGGGACAGTGGATCAGGAGTAGGTCTGAAAGCAACGATTCATCTTTCACAGGCGGAGCAGGCATCTTGGAGCAGGGACTGTATACGTCTCCTGACCTAGGCTGAAATCAAGTGCATGGCTTTGGACTATATTCAAAAGTCCATTTAAAACCATTATGTTTGGGAAGAGGAGAAGGGGCAAGTTTCTTGAGGAGTGACTGATAACATTTGCCAAAGAGAAAGAGGTTTTGATTCTCAGATTTGTCCCAGTTGATTTAAAATAGCCCAGCTTTTTGACTGAGGGTGTACTTACCCGAGATACAGAGGGATGCTAACAAAAGGCAAAAAGTGGGTTGATTTGTAGTGGAATTCTGCCACATTTTTCCAGCTGGGGGCAGGAATTCTCATAAATCGACAGCTGCAGAAGGCAGTTAATCCAAAGGCTAATCTCTGTCTGTCCAAATCGCTTACAGACATATTTGCAACACACACACAAGGATTTCTGTATGCATCTCGATGAAGCCAAGGGGAAGAGAGCAGCCCACAGCACGAATGGTTCGGGTGGGAGAGCGGGTGGCGGGGAACGCTCACACCGTGCTGGCTTTTACTGTAACCCTGCCTGACAGCTCGCTTGGCCCTATTTTGATGAATCACTCCAGCAGCTGCAGTAGTCCTCTGCAAACCTGTTATGCTGAACCTCCAAGGCAAGCTGATTTTGCATGTCACCACACAGACTATTAGGAAAGGCAGTGTCTACAGCAAAAAAGTTTTCTTGGTTCAGAGTTCAATTCTGGACCCAACTTCCAGCTTTTACACTCGCATTTACATTTCCTCCTGTCAGCAGTCTCCCTCTTCTGTGCCCCACATTCTCTTCTGCTTTCTCTTGCTCTGTATCTGTTGTACCAGATCTCCTTCATCCCCTCTATCTCTACATTTTTCTGTGCTCTGCTTCTCCCTGGCCTCATGCAGGCGCGGGCCCAACCAGCTTCTGTCCCCCTGGAAGGGTACCAAGTAGGGCAGTCTCGCCTCCATAGCAAATTAATGGTCATCTGCAAAGAGAGCAGCTGAGGGCTTCGATCCATTCAGAACAGGGAGGAGTAGCAGAAAAAGCTAATAAAAACAGAGATAACATGAAAATCTTCCTTTTTTTAACCAAACATAATCAGACACTTGAAGAAGCCAGCACATTTGCAAATTTCACATCAAACCCAAAATACTTGTTGGAAAGAAGGACAAGAACTAAAAATTTCCAGAGGACAATCAGCGTGCACCTATAGTTGCTTTTTGTAATTCCATCTCTTGTGCAGCTCCAGTACCTGCGTGAACACAAGTACATGAGCGCAGGGACACAGAACAGATGCTGCTCCAAGCAGGTCAACAATACAATCAATTAGGTTTTGCTGAAGGACCTCAGCCTCTTCCTATAGTGCCCACCTGCCATATCATAAAGTTATTGTGTAGCCGGGGGATTTTACTGCTCCTTCTCTCAGGTGTGATGTGGGTGTTTGATGTGGGAAGCGTTGGCACTTAGCAAAGACAAGAGGAATCCATGGGGTCTGAAGCAGTGAAGAGGTTCCAGTGAATGGACAGACTGCATGCTAAAGAGGCTACATACCCAGAGGAACAAACGGGCACCCGCAGAAGGTAGGATATCTGGACATTAAAACCTTTCTTTGTTCAAATTCCCAGTGAATAGAGTATGAATAGACCGAATCTGCAATGTTACCAAAAATGCAACCCTCGGAGGTGGTTTTTAAAAAGCATTAGACAAACTAAGGAAGGAAAAACAGACACCATGATGTCTCAGAGTTGACAACCAGCATTGGACACTACTGCAGAGCTTGGGGGAATGTGTGACCAGAAAACCAAACGCTCAACAGTTAACGCTGGCCATGTTACAAAACTCTCAAAATCAATAGGCATTTTCTGAAGTCCTTGCCGAAACCCTTCAAGCTCAAATAACTCCCATGTTACACAGGAGCTTGCAAGGATGAGAGAGAGTTTATTTTCATATTCTTAACCGGGAATAAGTCAGTACGAGAAATAAAGAAAAGCTATTGTTTTCACCCGAGCAGCTTCCATTTTTTCCGAGCGGGATTTTCCATTGTGTACTCACATGGCGTTGGCAAACAAGCCAGCCTAATGAAACCGCAGGCTCTCTCGCCTGCTAACTTGAATGCAACATACGTGAAGTTTTAAGTACTACGTGTGCCCTTTTAACACATATACTATTGTTCCTGCTGTATGAGTCACGGGTTTTTTTTCTATTTTATTTATATTTTCAGATTCAGCAATTCCCATTATCATGTGCCCAGATAATGCTGACACACATGTTCAAAGTCAAATACACTTAATCGGTTTTTAAGAGCATTACTGACTTAAAGACTAAAATGGGGAGGTCTTATCACAAAAGCCGGGGCAAAACCAGCACATTTCATAAAGTTGCCTTACCTTTTTTCTTTGGAAGTTCACATCGAGTTTCATTGAGGCGCACTTGTTCAGTGTGTTCAGTCGTCTACAGGGCAAAGCAAATTCAAAAGATTAGCAGCCTCTGATTAAAGGGCATGACTTCTCATAAGTTCAAAAGCTTTTCTCTTATCTGCCTGTAGGGTGCTAACTGCATACAACAGGCTTCAGGAACTATACTGGTCGCATTATTCCAGGTTATAAGACCACTGGTTTAAACGTGCTAACTTCACATTACTTGATAGCCAGGTTTTATATATTGCTTTTTAATTCATAAACATTTTAAGTACTTAGCAAAAGAAACAGATAGAAACAAACACGTCTGATGGCTGGGGAAATGACATAAGAATAAGGAGGCAAGTTGCCTTCTGAAGGAACATAGCATAATTGGTCTAAAACAGTATAAGGTTAATGTTGGGGGATTTCAAAGTACTTCTAAAAGACAAAAGAAAAAGTTGGGGTTCCTCACTTTATGCAGTTATTACCTCCTTTGAAAAGCTGACATAAAGAAGAACTTTTAGCAACTAGTTAAATGTTTCTTCATCGCTTATAGTTCCTTTCCCATACCTATGGATCTTATAGACAGCTTAACACACCCAACATGTAACAAATCTAACATCTTTAAATAGGTTTTTTAGTTATTTGTGACCATGTTTTGTTTGTCACGATGTTACCAGGAACACTGTAATGCTCCTGCTCTTTAAATCCAAGGCCAACCCATGATGATAGTGGGTTCACGTGACAATCTGACAAAGATGGAAAGTGAATCTGTGTGCATGTGTGTGCTCATATGCAAATACTGTCAGAGGACAAGAAAGCGTGCTCTTTCAATAGTGAACCTACCATGCTAATCATAATTGCTTTGTTTTATTTCTGCTTAAAGATCCTGATTCACGAAACCATCCGTTGGCTAAAAGCAGAGGGCTCAGGGTTAAGTATGTTCGACTTTGAACATTTTCCAGACCTAGGGCTGAATCTCAAAACAGAGGCAGAGTGAGAGCGCCTTGTGCCCATCGTGCTCTTCTGCAGGCTGCCTGCATCTCTTGTGTCTCTGCAGCAAGAGCTGCCCCTCTTGCTTCTGGGTCTGAGAGAGAGGCTGCAAAACTCCTGAACGGGTAACATTTGAAATGTATGTGCTAAGTTACAAGGACACATGAAAAAAAGTATCACATCGATAATAGAGTCTCTCACATAGCATAAGAACAATATGGCATTAACATATTCCTCCCCGGGACTTCTAATATTAGAATTCCTTTCAAATTGCCACCACTAATAAAGAACCAGCCCACCAAATGTGGATCTTCCTTAAATAAAAAGCCCTCAGAAAATACCACCTGCTCATTTGTAGGTAAAACACTCCCCCCTAACTCAAGCCGATAAACCTGTTATGCCATATCAGAAAAGCCCTGTGCTCACCATGTTAATGCAAGTATAATGCATGCACAAGCACACCCCACATGCGTGACAGTAATGTTCGTGTAATAAATTTCAGGCTTTGTGGCTCTGTAGCTGTATCTTCAGCCTTCTGCCCACAAAACCTCCTCCTCAGGGATTACATCTATTACAGCATCTTTTGCCCAAACATGGAATTTCTCAACCCAAAGTTGTGTTTTCTTGGGGCCCTTGGGCTGAATAATACTCAGCACTTAACTTCTGAGTGCAAAATTTTTAAATTTGTGTATCGATATCAATTCTAAATATACAGAGGCACAGACATATTTTCAATGGACTCCAGCCCAACTTTCTACCCTTGGAGACAGCTTCCTCCGAGAGGTGAGACAGAGGCTGAGACTGGAGCCCACGCACTCTGCGTTAGCTGGCCTGTGCTGGAGGGGACAAGTTCATACGCACATCTCCACAGTGACATGCCACCGTGTGCCATGCATCGCCGGACTGCCTGACCACCTGAGTGCTCGTAGCTGCGTATCTAAATCAAGCTGCAGCAGTGTTCTCACACCTTTACATGGTGAGCGGCCAGACTAGGGACAGGGAAGTGTTTCATTCACCTAAATACATCCTACAAGGCTGACCAGGAGAGAGACGTGAGCTAAATTCATGCCCAGATGCTCAGAAACATTTTAAATACAGGGACTGGCCGGATGGTCACACTCAGAG